TCACTATTTTTTATGAAATGGTTAGGATAAAATCCCAGAAACATTGTCACAGTTTATACAACTATTTATCTCTATGGCAGGTGAAAATACTATGCAAAAACTAAAAAACAGTTGAGTGATTACTCACAACAGTGACCTAGAAAACAATATAAAATGAAAATGATCAAAGATAGATATCTAAAAATGACTACATCTGCACAGTACTGTGTTTGACAGGACAGGCTTGACTTTTCAATCTCTATTAAATGTGTTTAGTAGAGAGTGGTTACAGAGAAAGACAAGCTAACTCTGTAGACTGACTGTGGATAGACACTATTATTTCCAATGAAATTTAATGCACTAATGTCAATTTGATATTCACAAGCAAGACAATTTAAAATAAGACTGGTTGCCTCCCCCCAAGATGCCAATCATAATCCTCAACTAAGAAATCCTTATAATTTTTTGAAGTTGTTTTACTTATAAAATTAGTTGTCTTGCATGGATTTTTTTTCACATTTTTCTCTTCTCAAACTCCACTCTCAATGCCAATCTATATTTTAAAAAACTGGATTATGGAAGTTTGGAATAAAGTTGACACAACATGGTCCAAAACAGACATGCATTCAAAGTTTTTTTTCTTATTCTGCTCAAAGTGCTTTTTGTCTGAAAACTAAATCACGACTTTCCCTTGGATCTGTGTAGAAGCCTTGTGGTGTTTCACTAACCATTAAGCAAGATGCCTGGCTTCTTGTTAAAGCAGGAGCAGGAACAGAGTATCCAGTCACAAGCAACTGCCCATCTTTTCACTAGGCTGGCACCATTTACCTTCATAACCTCCTGTCCCTTTCTAAAAGTATCTGCTGCAATGTGTTGACAGGAAAGGATAACTGCCAAATTTCAGAGGCAGTCCTTACTATGTTACTCAGGAACAGCTTGAAAGCTTAATGGAAAAAGGAAGTGGGGGCACGAAGAGTAGCCCCCTTCCCACTGAAGCTCACAGGACAAGAGAGACACTGCATTAGCATCTGTGCCACGCAACAGCCTGTCAAACGCCACATATAGACTTCAAAACACTGTTGGCCCTAAACAGAAAGAGACAGCAGAGGAAATCCTCGCCACTGATCCTAAGGAAATTAACTTTGTTTTAAACCATCCATTTCAGAGGGCAATTAACATTTTCAGGCAATACAAAGACTGAACTGAAGAAATTAAAGGAACCCAGTTCTGTTATGGTGACATCCCACTGTTTTCACAACTTAATACTGAAATATGGGAGAAGGTTTGCAGATCTAACAGGAAAAAAAAAAAAAAATCAATTTCCTAATTAAACCTGAAAACCAAGCTATGTATATATTGTATGCATGTTCTCTAATTTCATAGGAAAAACAGTCTCAAAGAATAGAAAAAGTCACCTTCCCTGCTAGCAATTAGGATTTAAAAAGAATAGTTGACTAATAAAATGAGCTGGCAGTGATTGGTGCCATTTTAGTGTCATAAGCATTATCAATGTATATGAAGGGTTTTATAAATCAGTAAGTGAATCATCCCTACATGTTTCATTTTTGCTTACTACTGGGTATTTTGTGTTCTGTTCAACATTCATTTCGTAATATTACAAGAGTATCCTCTAGGTGCCTTTGCCCACAAGGGTTGGGCTACTCCGTTTCTTTTCAACTAATAGGCAATGCAAAAATAAAGAAAGGAAGAAAACCACCACATTTAATTGCGATACAATGAATGTCCAATAACTTTTCTTAATGAGCAATCAAAGTGTTCATTCCATCTGGGAAATGAATCTGGCAGCTGTTGGTTACAACGTACAGACTGAACACTAGAGGCACAAGCTCAGTTGACAAGCTTTGTTTGCATATCCACATAGTTAGAGAGAAAGATGCAAGACATTTACAGTCGCACCAGGTAGTTCCTGATGTAAAATGTTAATTACCAACAGACTCTTGGAACTTCAGGCACAGAACCCCAAGGTAGCCATCTAATTTAGCAATCATGCATTCATTATTTTGAGCATTTTCCACAGTGAGAAAGAAATAATATTAAATAAAGGATGTTATTATGTATTGACTCCTGGTCCTTATGGTCCTCTAGCACTGGAAAAAAAAAATTATGAAAAGTTTACTTTCCTTTCAATTAGTCTGGTGTTTTTTTGCTATGAGGGAAACCATGTGATAGTTTGCTGTCCTATTTTTAGATTTTGCCTCCTCCCAGATGGCAACTTATAAGCCTGGAAGAGAATCCTTCAGTCAAATTAGATAACATACAATAAGGTCTGATCCTGCAAACTTTCTTATACAAACAGTCCCAGTAGAGTCACAGTCACCACTTGCCTGACAAGTAATAGCTGCAAATTAGGCTCCAGATAAAAGAGCTTTGTACAGTCAAACTTAAAGAAATATAAATCAAAATAATTGCACAAAAAGAAAGAGTTACCTAAACCTTCTGATTCAAAAAGATAAGTCTCATCAACGCCAATGCCTCTACACCAGTTAAGAAAGTTGGCTGTATTATCTCTAGCAAAAAAGGATCCTGATGGAGCATCCGTCTTGCATGGGACTTTTCTCATAGGAAAATCCTGTCAAGAAATTAAAAATATACACATTTATATCCATATTTTAAAATGAATTTTATGAGGGAAAAAAATCTTGCGTCTAAAGTATAAAAATGGGAGTTAGTAACTCTAACTGATGCATCCAAATGAAGGGACAGCTAATGCAGGGGGAGCGTATGGTATGCACAAATGTGTATACACATGGTTATTCTGCTGGAGTTGAGAATCAAGATAAGGAAAAAAGGCGACTGCCACTGTGGTAGCTCGGCCTCGGATGTGGCCTCTGCTAAAGGAGCAGCTACATCTGCCTAACCATCTCCCGAAATATGGGAAAGGGAATTCAGTTGATAGCTTCCTTGATCTAGTTCAGGGGTGCCCAATCGCCAGCCTGCAGGCCAAATATGGCCACACAGTCTTGGAATCTGACCCACAGGGCTCCCCACGGGTTGAAAAACTTGACAGCAACGGAGTAGTGGTAGTGCAGGAGTAGTGGCAGTTAATACTGCTACCCCTCCCCCCTGCCAAATTCCCAAGCACAACAGGATGAACCAGAGCCAGGAGCTGGGCCATGGTCCTCGCCCTGCATGGTTGGCTGGGGCCAGGCCACTCCCACTTCCCTCCACCCAGCCAGGTTGGGGTCAGGCCACACCCTTCTCCTGCCTGGCCAGCCTGGGGCTGGGCCATGCCCCCTTCTCCCATATGGCTGGGCCCCCACACCCTTCCCCAAATGGAGCTGGGCCACATACCCTTCCCCACACTTGCCAAGTTGGTGCTGGGCCACCCCCACCTTTCTCCTGCAGAGATTGGGGCCAGATAATGTCCAACCCTCCTGCTCCCACCCACAGGGCGAGGCCAAGCTCCCTTCCCTGGTGCAGCTGGATCAGGCTGGTCTCCTCACCCCCCCACCCCTGTGCAGCTGGATGGGGCCCCACAGCACCTGCCCCAAGTACTGGATTGGGTCCAGCCAGATCCAGGCCACGGACAGACCAGGCACTACCATTCCAGGCCCCTGGGCGAAAAGGTTGAACACCACTGATATAGTTAATCACTGTTTTGCTGCCCCCACCTCCAGACTCCATGCTGCAGCAGCAGGACCCCACACCCCCAGCACAGTTCTGCTTGAGAGGTATTGGCATTTCTGTCAGTTTATGAAAACACAACAGTGAAGTTAAAGAACAAAGTTCATTTGAGAAAGTTGAACAGCAGAGTAATCTAAACATTGGTAAAAGCTAACAAGTGCTACCAGCCCATGATTAACCACCTTCAGTAAAAACACACAAGTCTTGGCTTTATGCAGTTTTAGAAAAATCACCTTCATGCCAATTTGACTGCAATAGACTTTATGATGGGTTAAGAATGCTTTCTTCCAAGTTATTTCCCATTTTTCTGTTCGTGCTAGATTATGTTACCAGGGCTTGTTTGTTTGTAACTATACAAAAAGTGCTCCCAAGGAAGTAAAGGTACGAATCTGATGATTCAAGCCCTTCCCTCTCCTCAGGGGGAACTTGATAAACTATATGGCAACTTTCTCATTTCTGTATACATCCAAGCACTATTCCAAATACTCTTTCTAGCTCAAGTATACTGGAGAACATGTTGCATATAGTAATAATATTTGTACAGGTGCTAGGTTAACATCCTGAATCAAGGTTTCTATTTTGTATAAAATGATAGAGCATTCCCACCCCCACCCTCCACCCCTAATTTCTGCATAGTCTTCATTTCTAAAATGTGTTTAAAGTGCCAGTGGTATTCCTGTGTTCGCAATCTACTTGCCTACCAGCAAGAGTCACAGTCAGAACATGAAGTCCTTCAATTGGAAGGTTGCCTGTAAAAGGTCTGATTTAAGTTAGGACCATGCAAGAACTCTGAACAAACCTTTAGAATTTGACCCACATCTGCTTTGGAGCACATTACTTGAACTGTCCAAGCCATCTGGTTTTTTTTTTCTATTTTCCAAATACAGAGCATACAGAATACAGCATTGATGAACTACTCTCTGTACAAAGTCAGTTTTTATTGGCCTATTTCAGTAACAGCTAAATGCCATATGACTCACCCGCAAATCCTTTGAGCTACAACATTTCTTAATTGTGTTTTGAAGAACACCAACCAACTGGCAGAGCAGCACACCATTATCCAGCTCTTCCAGCAACTGTTCTGCAGCAACTTCTTTTCCTAGAAATAAACAGTGGTAAGAAGTAACTCACATGGGCCTTATAGTGATAATTCAGACACTGCATTCCTCCGTTATGAAGAAACATTTTGGCTTTAGTCTGCGGAAGTGTGATAGTTATTATTCCACCCAAATTTTTTTTTAATTGGGTTCAACCACATTAACTGATGAACTTCAAATTTTTTTTTCTACTTTATGCTTTTAGCACCAATCAGTTGCCACTACACAGAATGTGAGCTATCTTTAAAATGGTACATTGTTATATTAGTATTTGTATCATATCTTCTCACTCCCCAATTGCCTGTTTCTGCATGTGGCAGTTTTAAACCATAACTTCTGAATCTAAAAGAAAGACCTTTCACATATTAGAAAACAAAAATGTCTGTTTACCTGTGAAACTACTTATATTAAACTGAGCTTAAAATCTGATTAAAAATGCATTACTTAACGTGTGACTCTTAAATAGGAACTATAAATAATGTTATTAGTTCATCTAATTGATAGGTGGTAGCTCATAAAACATGAAACTAGAGCAGGCATTGAAATGCAACTACCTTCACTACTTATGCCGAAACACCTTAATTACTCTTTACAATATTATGGATATGAAAAGTCAGCACTAACTGAGACACCAGATTTTCAATTTCTTTAGGCAGCAATTTACCAAACAATCCTGATAGCCAGATTGATAGGTCTTCCTGCATAGGCACCAGTGTTGCTTCATGCCGCACAGATATCCATTGGTCATATAGGCAAACATCTGCCAAGCCTGGGCCATGTCTGGCAGTCAGAGGACATCGTGGGCTTAAAGGAAGATCATCTCCAAACCACACCTAATGAGAATTTCAATGAAGTCAAACATATTAACTGTAGCATTTGCAACCTCTACCAATAAAATCTAGAAATTCCTTAATTTGACTAATAAATCACATGATAGAATAAGAGTCCTCATCTTGCTAAAAAACCCCACACACATTCTTTCTTTAAAGTAAGATACAGTTTTGAATCTGGATTCCTAGGCTTAAGCATGATTCTAGTGATTTAGAAACCCTAGCACATATTTACTTACTAGCTTTATGGGATCTGGTCCCTGATCCCAACAATCCCTGATCCCATACTATACATGCATGACAGAAGGCACAATTTTGAGCTCAGGATTTAGAACCCAATCATGCTATTACTAATTACTACTGCCTGAGATTGTGATCCTGGGCTCCCCCTGCATGGGCAAGTTAAAATCTGGGTGCCCAGAGCCCTGTTTGCAGGGCCAACAGTCAGCTGATTATCAGCCCCAGCCCAGACAGCCTGGGGTCTAATTCAAGACCCAGGGCTGTCTGGGCACTAATGCCAACAGTCAGCTGATTGTCAGCCACAACCCAGACAGTCCCAGGTCTGGTTCACCCGGGGCTGTCCAGGCAAAGATGCAGCCAACTGTCAGCCCCCATGGGTTAAAGGGTTTCCTCCACCAAGGACTTTAAACCTCACGCCTAGTAGCTCTGGCATGGCTGGCAGGAGCAGGGGATCAGAGGCTCCTGGTGGGGGGAGGGGGGGGGGCAGTAGACAAAGGGCTTCCCCCAAGAGGACTTTAAAACTTTAGGCTTCTGGCGGGGTGCATCCGATGCCCTGTGCCTGGCAACCCTGCCAAAGCTGCTGGGCAGCAGGTTTTCAGGTTCCCAGTAGTGGGAGCCCTTCAGCTCCCCCCACCACCAGGACCCTCTGATGCTCCCACATCCGGCAGCCCTACCAGAGATGCTAGGCATGGAGTTTAAAACTCCCCAGGGAAAGAAGGCCCTGCTCACAGCCTCTGATCCCTTCCCTCCTTTCCCCAGGCCCTGTTGGAGAACCAGAACTGTCCTGGGGGCAGATGCTGATAATCAGCTGATTGCTGGCACTGGCCGTAGGGCAGCCCCCAGCTTCTTGGAAACTAGGTCTCCCCAAGCCTGTGCAGACAATATTGTCAGCACGCTTGGTGGAGAACAGGGCTGATTACAACAATCAGCTGTTTATTGGACATCCGCCCTAGAGAGCTCTGGTATATGGACATGGCTCATAGAAACAAGCCATACAAAGTGTTCTACTTTATTTGTGGAACATTTTTTATGGCTGGTTTGCCATTTTATGGTGCTTTAATTGGGTGCATACATAGCACCTTTGCCATTTATCCTGCAATCAACATGTTAATTGTGGCATAAATTCAAGATGTAGAGAGGGCCTTAGTGTTATCCCTCCACATGTTATAAGAAACATTTTCTTAACGGTTCCTAATTTTTAAAAACACTACTGTACCTGCAATTTGTAAATAACCATTCCATTTACAAAAACTTATAGCAAAATTAGTATTGGATCCACAACATGAATAGACAGACCTACAAGTTATTATTGAATGTATTGTATCTCATCTCAAAATCAGGTTAGATTTCCTGGGACTTTTTGCTTAATATTCTGATTTTGCAGAGGAAAAATGTGTTACCCTAAACAAAAGCATACACTTTAAAGTTAGGCTTCAGTTCTCATATAACCATTATATATTTTCATACTTCAGGGGAATGATTTGATATTGTTGTTTAGGAAAGCACAAAAGAAACTGATACAAACTTTAGCATGATCAAGATTCTTACTATGTCCCAAAAAAGTTTTTCCTACACATTTCAGTAAACCAAAAAAACCAAACAAACAACAAACAAACAAACCAACCTTTCTTACATAGAATAAATTACTTTGAAAAACTGAAATATTGAAACATTCCACAAAAATCTCTGTGTATTTTAGCAACCTCACCATTTGATTGGCTCATACCATGTCCTAGAAATCACCAATACTGACACTTAAAGATAGAAAGAAAGGTCCCCTCTGCACACAGAGGTAAAGTTGTAATTGGATCTATTGCACAATCTCTCCCACAGTCACGCCTCCTGCCATTCACTTGTGGGCTTTCCCTGTATCAAGAAGCAGGCATCCACAGTTAGGAGCCCCCTTTGCTGAGGGGATTCCCAGCCATGGGGACCACATGCAACCAAGACCCAGAGAACCCTGTTATCTGTGGGGTCCCTGGGTCCCAGCTGCATGTGAGGTGCAGCTGGGACGAAGAGACCCATGTGGGCCCAGGGGTGTCTCACACTTCCACGGCTCGAGGACTGCACCCATTGCCAAGAACTCTGTGAGCTGATGTGCTCCCAGCTGCAAGGGAGACCCTGCTACTCATGCAAATTAAAGCTAGATACCAATCCACTATAAACTTAGTACATATTTTTGAGGTCTAACTTTATATCTGGTTGGACCTTTTTATTGTGGGACCTTTTTATTGCTCATGTAGTTGGACTCAAGGTAACTGCACAATTAACCAGTTAATTACATGATACTTGTAACATAAGGACAGACAAAATACAGCTTTTGGGCTGCATCTGTCCCACAGCTGAGTGCCCACTAATTAAATGTATGCGGCCTGCCCGTGGCTGCGCCTGCTGTTCTCTTCATGAGGCCCTCCTCATGCCCGAGGGTGGAAGCATAGCATGCAGACTGCTACCAGGGCAGCACACTATGCTTCAACCCTTGGGCATGGGAGGGCCCCAGACAGCACACAGATTCTGGGTAGGGCCACTGCTGCCACTGCCCAGGGAACTGCTCAGTTCCCCTGGTCTTCAATGACTCCTCCTCATCTCCCTGCTTCAGCAATCTGGGCAGCAAGTAGGGAAGCAGTGGTAGGCAGAGGGCAGCTGTGGCTGGATGGGAGTGCAAAGCGTGGGCTGGCAGAAGCACAGAGCCCAGATCAACCCAGTTCCATCATGTGGGGCTCCCCATGGAGCTCTCACACAGCTCCCAGGACTCAGCCAAAGTCGTGCACCACACGAGAGGAGCCCCATGCAATGGAGCCAGCAGCCCTCCCTGTTTCCTGCTGCCAAGTGCAGCTCCCAGGACTCTGCCAGAAGCAGCGGGGAGCCCAGCACGATGGAGTCAGGCTGGATCAGCCCCACTCCCTGCTTCCTACCAGAGCCCCAGGAGCTGCACATGGCAGCAAGGAGTGGGGCCAAGCCAGCAACTCCATTGCATGGGGCTCCCCCTCATGTGGTGCACAACTGGCCGGATCCTGAGAGCTGCACATGAGAGGTGGGGAGCCTCACACAATGGAGCCAGAAGCCTGACCCCACTTTCTGCCACCATGTTCAGGTCCCAGAACTGGTCAAAGCCGCATGCGGCTGGGGGGCTCTGCCTGCGTGGGCTATGAGGACCCCCCGTTGCTGGTGGTGGCAGGGGCTGTGTCATGGTGGGGGCAAGTGAGCGAGGCCTCCACACCCCCCCCCC